AAGACTGAGGATCAGACATGAGAGGGAAGAGGCTCCATCAGCGAGGCCTCCCTATGCAGCCAGCCAACCACCCCGGGCCTCAGCTCTCCCAGTTCAGCAAGGGATTTTGAAAAGTACTCACTTCTGGTAGATTTCAGGGGTGTCTGGATAGCTTTTGCTGTTAGCTTGTTTATTTCTGTGATATCCAGGTCAGCCTGTGATAAAAACAGCCCGGAAACACTAGGCATAGTCCATCGAATATGAGGAACAATATTTTTAAATGCAAACAATCTTTTTAAAGCATGTCACTTAATACATCCGAAAGATCACGTTAATTATAACACAACAGACTCCCATAAGCCCACCACACCACCCAGGACCCAAAACACCAACAATAACTTGCTGCTAGGTATCTATTCTTCGCTGTTCCATTTCCTTGTCTTTCCTCCAAAGGTGACCAGTCTTCTGTGTCTTTCTCCAGATATAACCACAACCATTCCATTTGCTTGAAAAAGTGTGTGTGTATATATGTATTTTCACAAATGTATCTGTGCTTAAATATCGTTTAGTTTTGTTTCTGACCATTATTTGTAGTTAATCTCTTTTTATATATCCCACTGTGACTCTACCATAGTGGATTTGTCTAATCTCTTGCCCACAGTCTTTTGCTATCATGAACACTGCTACTTTGAACCGTCATACATGTATGTCCAAGTTTGCTCTTGGCTATATACTTGGGGATAGGGCATTACAGGGCTATAGGGTACACAAATGTTCAGCCTTGACATTATGCCAAATCATTTTCCAAAGTGGTTATACTTGTTTACATTCCATCAGCCACCAATACAAGTTCAAAATGATCCACATTCTATAACACCTGGTGCTGTGTCAGACTTCTCATTTTCCTCTTTTCAAGTCTAGGTTTTCCACTGTGATCTTGGGCTCTTCAGAAAGGCTTCTAGTCGCCCTTTTAATTAAACTTCTTCCCACTGGTGACTGCCTATGAGACTAGTCAAGAGCAGGCACGATTCCTAGGCTTTTCCTTGTAGGGCATGTGTCACTATCAGAATAGTTGCCACCTCACAGTGACAAGGTTTCATCTCTGGGTTGGTAGGGACTTCATGGAGCACTCAGAGAATTCTGAGGCTGTCCAGGCTTAGCAAGAAACAGTGCTGTAGCAGATTAGTGATGTCTGATGGTTGATGGAATGGCAAGTGCTGGCCAACTTTCTGCCATCTCTATAGCCAGCTGGCATGTTATGAAGGTATCATCGGTGGCATGTCATTAGCTAACATGCAGAAGAGTTAACAAACCTAAGACTGATATCCATGTTCACATGGTTGGCCAGTGGATGGCACTAGAACTTGGACTTCAGGGTTCCCACTATTCCCTGATAAGAGAGGCTCCCTGTGCCTAAGATTTATGCAAACAACATGGTTTATGCTGAATACCTGCTTTCCTTCTGCAAGTCTGGAATTTTGGTATTGCTAGGCAGAAGATGTGACCGCTCCTAATAAAACCCTGCCCATTAAGTCGCTAAGGAGCTTTCCTGCTAGGTAAGGTGCTGAATTAAGCGCGTCCTGTGTGTCTCCACTGGGAGAGGACTCTTGGGAGCTTGAACCTGGTTTCCCCTGGACTTTGCCCCATGCATCTTTCCCTTTGCTGATCTGCTTTGAATCCTTCCACTGTATAAATCATAGCACAGTAATCCTTTCACTGTAAGGATTCCACAGTTTCACTTTCTGCAATTTCAGTTAACTTGCAGTCAACCTGCAAAATATTAAATGGAAAATTCCAGAAATAACCCACAAGTTCTGAATTGCATGCTGTTCTGAGTAGGTGATGAAATCTTACATCGTCCAGCTGTGTCCTAGGCCATGAATCATCCCTTTATCCAGCGTTTCCATGCTGTGTATATGCTACCTACCCATTAGTCCTTCAGTACCCATCGGCCCCCAAGCATAAAAGTAGTGATGTGGGCAATTCTGGATATGCCAAAAAGAACTGGAAAGGGCTCCATTAAGTGAAAAGGTGGTATAGTACCATAAGCTATTTTGAGAGAGACCACATTCACATACTTTATTATCAAAGTATATTGTTATAATTGTTCTATTGTATTATTAACCTCTTACTGTGCCTAACTTATAAATTGAACTTTCTCATAGGTACATATGTACAGATAAAGACCCTTATGGAACCTCTTCCATAGTAAGCATCCACTGGTTGGATTTGTGAACAGACCCAACTTACAGTTCCCCAACAGGTCAAGTCACTTACCGTTGCTGCCTCCTCCAAGGCCTGCTTGTTTCCTCCAAGGGCTTGAAAAAGAACATTTTGTTCAGTTACTATCAGTTTAATCACAAATCATCTTCCCATGCTGAGTTAGTTATCTTTCTAAAACAGGACCAAAGTAAGCCCGCGCTCCAATAACTCAAGGACCTTCATAATCTAGTCTAATCTTTCTCCAAGCTTGACCTGTCCCCCTCATGACCTCGTCTATGTTCTACCAAACTAAAAAGTTCCTGTGAGTTCCCAAATGTGCCACTGTTTTCTGAGACTCAGTGCCCTGATATTTATTATTTCCTGTGCCCGTGCCCAAAATATTCCTCTGCACCCAACAAATTTCTAACTCATCCTCGGAAACTGAGCTCAAACCCAAAACTCTGCTTATTTGTCTATGACAGCAGATGGCTGCTAAGTGCTGTGTTAGTTGTTCATCCTCACCCTACCCAACAACCACTCAAAGCAGTTTAAGTCTTTTCTCTCCACCCCCTGGGTCTTGAACTGAATTCCTTGAGGACACAGATAATATCCATAGTTTCTGGCAAAATGTGCCACACAGTAGGTATGTAGTTAATGTGTTGAATGAAGAGGTCTGTGCAAGGTTAGATGCAGAATAAAAAGTCAGGTTAGGTCTTCCTGCTAGAAACTCTCACGGTAGGTATCCTGTATGACCGTTAAGAATTTAGGCTTTGGGACCAGAATACGCCCACATTCAAATAAACTCTGCCACTAACCAGCTCATGAGATCTTGAGCAAAGCAACCAATCTTTCTGTGCTTTAATCTCGTCATCTATAAAATAGGGGTAATTTTAATAACACATCTTTTATGAGGATAAAATTAGTTAAGACAGCGAGTCCTTGAAAAACATAGCTTTAATTCGAGATCGCTTCATTGGGACTGATACATGTTCAATGAATATTTGTAGAAATGTGCAAACAAATGGATTAATAAATAAAAGGGCGAGCCAAAAGGATCATTAAATGTCTACTATCCAAGGAAACCATGCATTTCTATCTCAGGAGGAGGCTACATACTGGGTAATTAATAATAACCCTCTGGCCCTAACCGGTTTGGCTCAGTGGATAGAGCAGGGGTGGGCAAACTTTTTGACTCGAGGGCCACAATGGGATCTTAAATTGGACTGGAGGGCTGGAACAAAAGCATGGATGGAGTGTTTGTGTGAACTAATATAAATTCAAAGTAAACATCATTACATAAAAGGGTACGGTCTTTTTTTTTTTTTAGTTGTATTCATTTCAAGCGGGCCGTAGTTTGCCCACGGCTGGGATAGAGCCTCGGCCTGCAGATTGAAAGGTCCCAGGCTCCATTCGGGTCAAGGGCATGTACCTTGGTTGGGGGCACATCCCCAGTAGGGGGTGTGCAGGAGGCAGTTGATCGATGTTCCTAACTCTCTATTCCTCTCCCTTCCTCTAGGTTAAAAAATCAAGAAAATATATTTAAAAAATAAATAATAACCCTCTGGCCCAGAAGGCCTTAAGATATTATATGGTCTTTTAGAGAAAACATTTGACTGCCTGCAGGGGTAGATGATGGTCAGTGCTAAAGAGATTAAAACAAAAAAAAAAAGCAGAGAAATGAGATGGGGAGTGAGAGGAAGCATTAAATCTTCGGCTTTTTTTTTTTTTTTTTTTTTTAAATCCTCACCCCAGGATATTTTTTCCATTGATTTTTAGGGAGAGTGGAAGGGAGGGAAGGAGGCGGGGGAGAGAGAAAGAAACACTGATGTAAGAGAGAGACACGGATTGGTCCCACCAGGCTGACACTTGAACCTCGGAGCCACCGGCGGGGCACACCTACTTCCTGCCACACCTACTTCCTGCCTCGATCTCGGGGGACCTAACTGAGGGAAGGTTGGTGGGTGAGCAGCGGGCTTCAGGGCGGAGCCGGGGACACTCCGCAGCGCTTACCGAAGTAGTCGAGGCAGTTCATCTCGCGCAGCGCCTTGGGGAGCCGCAGGATCTCGATGTTGTACAAGTTATCCATCTCCTTGAGGATGTTCAGCCCGTCTGACAGAATTTGCTTGGATCGTATTTGCACTGCGATAGAGCAAAGTCCACAGAACCGGGGTCCCCGGTGGGTGAAGGGAGTCTGGAACCCGTGCTGCCCCGCGGCCCATCCGCCAGCACCCCGCGATCGCCCCGTAGCCGCGACGACCCGGGCTCGGCCCTTACCTTCCCGGTCGAAGTCCTTAAGAAAGGAGGCGAGCTTCCGGTCCCGTAACAAGTTGGTCTTGGTCACCCGACGGCTGCCCTTCCTAGCCGGGGCCATGGCGCCTCAGTGGCGGCTGCGGGGAGCAGGGAACCGAGCCCCAAGGGGTTAGAGGCGGAGGCTGGGGAGGGAAAGTAGGGGGCCGCGAAGGCGCGGGAGAGGGGGGACGCGCGCCCGAAAGGGTTCGTGGAGGGGGTTGACCTTCGGGGCCTGAGCGTAAAGCAGTCGGGAGGAACGTACCTGCGGATCCCAAAACAAGGGGAAACCTCGCCGCTCAAGCAGCAGGGGAGCGGCTCTGGGGCTACCAAAGACGTGCGACCGCCGTCACGAAATTCAAACTGCCACAGGCTGACGAATGAGAAGTCGCCGTCTTAGAAGGCGGGTCCACGACACCCAATCACAAAGAAGCTCCGTGTCGGCCGCCGGCTCACGCGTAGGACTACAGTCCCCAGAAAGCATTGCGACATTACGACATATTTTCGCGACTGAACTGCTTAGCGCACCCGGCTCAGAGGAACTGCGGGTATAGGCCAGCGGCTCCGCCGGGTCCTCAGAATTGGACGGCCGCTGAAGCGACCGGCCGACCGAAGGGCAGGAGACAAGATTCCGGAAGCACAACAGGTCTGGCGCTGGGGCGGCCGGGCTTGGGCCCCGGGCATCCGCAGTCTGCAGCCCGGTAAGATCCTCCTAGGGACAGTCGGAAATCCTACCCCCCCCTCCCCCCCGCGAGCCCCTCTAAAGGTAAGCCAGCGCCTCGCGCCAGGAGCGCCTGTCGGGGGTGGGGAGGGAATGGGGGGCGGGATAGACAGCCCTACCGGAAACTCACCTGAGGACGGAAATACTCCCACCCCTGAGCTGGTACTTCCCCTACGGACTTGGGACCCGAACGCTGTTTTTCCCGCCCGCAACAGATGACTCCAGACGGGCCCCTGCTGGCGGTGCAGGCGGCCCTGAAGAAGTGCTTTCCTGTGGTGGAGGAGCAGCAGCGCCTGTGGCGGAGCAGCCTGAGCGACTGCCCGCCGCTCCTGGCCTCCCTCGGCAACCTGGCCGAGCAGCTGCGGGCGGCGCAGAACCTGCGCTTTGAGGACGTGCCGGCGCTGCGGGCCTTCCCGGGTTTGCAGGAGCGGCTGAGGCGCAAGCAGCTGGAGGCCGGGGACGCGGTCCTGGACCAGCTCGGAGAGCGGCTGTAAGGGAGGAGGCTCCGCGCTCGTGGCGGGGGTAGGCGGGGACCGGGTGTGCCATAGTCGCCGGGCTCCGCTGGGAAGGTGCTTCCTTCCTTCCTTCCTTACCGAGAGCCTGGCCTCGGAGGTGCCGCAGCCTTGCCTGCTGGGCCTCTGCTGCGGGGGCCCTCGGTCAGAAAACCATCTCCTGGCATTTATTTCCCTGGTCAGCGGCCAGGTGTGGCCGCGGTGGACTTAGGAGAAGTTTGAAAAGTAAAACAGAGAAGCAGCGGAGAAGGCTTCTTAGCTCCCTTCTGTAGTTTTCTTTGGTAAAAAGCAACGAGGGACCGCGGTGGACGCTAGGACAACGCTTGGGGTTAGGGGTGACCGCCAGCGCCATGGGAAACCTCCCGTCGGACTACCGTTGGCCCTCCCCACCCATGGGTTCCCGCTGCGGAGGTAGCCCTCGAACAGCGCAGGTGGGAGCTGTGCTGGTCGATTGAAAACAACATCCCCATATAAGTAGACCGGCACGGTGAAAGCCCGTATTGCTTAAGGGTCAGTTGTGTGTTGTGAACTCGGGGGGTGTCAGAGCTGAGGGTGTTACAGACATGATGCATAAAATCTTCTCAGCACCTCTGTGCCTTAGCCTCGTTTAATCCAATTTTGCAGGTGAGGAAACGGAGGCTCAAACAGATGGCCTCTGGTCTCACAGCTGGTAAATGGATCGCGGGGGTTCTCACCCAAGTGTGCCTGAACCCCCACTTCGTTCTGCTGCACATTGGTGTCTCTGCACCGACTGTCAGCCCTTATTATGCCTGATGTTAGACGCTACCTTAGTTACAGGTTATGGGGGTAGAGAAAAGACAGGGCAGGGAGCATGTGGCCTTTCCTTGACCAGAACAGAAGATGGGTCTAGTCAGTGTATGGAGTATATGCCATAGACCAGTGGTTCTCAACCTTCCTAATGCCGCGACCCTTTAATACAGTTCCTCATGTTGTGGTGACCCCCAATTTCATGGTTACAAATTGAACATAATTAAAGCATAGTGATTAATCACAAAAACAATATGTAATTATGTATGTGTTTTCCGATGGTCTTAGGCGACCCCTGTGAAAGGGTCCTTTGACCCCCAAAGGGTTCGTGACCCACAGGTTGAGAACCGCTGCCATAGACTAATATGAAACTGTCGAAAATGGGCACCTTCTTTGTATTCATTTGTACAAAATACATTTATTAATACGCAAAGTTCTTGGCATCCCACTGGTGCTTAATAAATGTAAATTAAATCCGGTACAACAATGAACCGGGTTTGATTCCTTAGTTGAGTAGAAGAGGTAGTCAGTTAAATATTATGTCATGGTCTATTCTAAGAGAATGAATTTTTATTTCAATTGTTTGCATATGTGCATGTGGATATCAGGCTGTTGTTTTAAGTATACATTAAAATTACGGGTCATGGTCAAACATTTTTGAAAGCCACAACTCCAAGCTAAGGAACGCCTTGCCCCTTGGGAAGTTGTAAACACTGCCTTGGTGGCTGGGCCCCTTGGAGTCACCAATGGAGTAGTAACAATGTTTACCACAAGCCGGGAAAATCTCTCAGCATTTTATGTGCATCATTGCATTTAATCTTCACAATAACCCTTTTTATTCTTCAACAAGTGCTTGTTCTATGGCCAGTCTCAGTGTTCTAGGTACTTAGAATGCGCAGTGAGCAAAACAGACTAGCTTTATATGAGAGAGAAAAAGAAACTTTCCTAAGTCCACATTAGTCTGTGTGCACTGCAAGCCTAAACTTTCACCATTCAGGAATTTACTAGGATGGGGCTGGGCGACATATGGATAGTACTGGTTTGTTGCTTCAGTTGCCTCTTACTCCCTTTTCACATTCAAGTGTGAGCAGTTGCTTTTCTTTACAGCTTTATGGCAGCCTCAGACAGGCCCCTTGGTCATTACTCTCGTTCAGAGCCATGTAACTTATGTATCTTCTCCGTCTTTAAGTAAATTCTTAATTCTTGAGCCACCCCTACCTCCAAGGCACCGTCACCAATCTCCTTCCCAAGTGGGTGTCATTTGGAGGCAGTTTTTTATTGGGACATTTGGCAATACCTGGAGACATTATTGATTGTCACAGCTTGGAGAGCGTGGGGGCATGGTTTGGTCCTGCCGTCCAGTGGGTAGAGGCCAGGGATGATGCGAAACATCCTACAGGGCACAGGGCAGCTCCACCACAAAGAATCATGTGGTCCAAAATGTCTGTGCCAACGGCAAGGGACTCTGTCTTCTGCCTTTTTCATGATAATGCCTAATACTAGACCCTTTCCCCCAGAGCGGCCCTCCTCAAGGTGCGTGACACTGTCAGCAGCCACGTGAGACAAGTGCTGCAGATCTATGAGCAGCATGCAGACGCAATCGGCATTGACGCTGTCCTGCAGGCTTCGGCGGCGAGCCCCTCTGTGGCTGACATGTTGGAATGGCTACAAGATATTGAGAGACATTATCAAAGTTCGTATCCTTTGCACACATTTCAAATAGTATCCAGGGCTGTTGCAGGAAGTTTTTCTTTCTTTTTAATCCTTACCCGAGGTTAATTTTTCATTGCTTTTTATTTATTTGTTTGTTTGTTTATTTTCCCCCGTTGATTTTTAGAGACAGGGAAAGACAGAGAGAAATATCGATGTGAGAGAAACACATCGATTGGTTGCCTCCTGCATAAGCCCCAACCAGGGCCTGGGCTGGGGAGGAGCCCTCAACAGAGGTACGTGCCTTTGACCGGAATTGAACCCGGGACTCTTCGGTCCGCAGGCTGATGCTCTATCCACTGAGCCAAACCAGCTAGGGCCCAGGAAGTCTTTTAATTTCATTTATCACAGGATTACAACATTGTATAGTATGGGTCAGTTCTCTCTGGTTCCTGAACTTGGGTTCTTCCTACAATTATTTCAACTCATTTATTGAGTAGCTACTACCTGCCAGGCATTTTTCTAGTTTCTGGACGTTAAAAAAGGAAAGCATATAGAATGTCAGATGGTGATAAGTGCTATAGAGAGAAATAAAGCAGAGAAAGTGAGGGGTGAGGGTGAGGTTGTGATTTTAAATAGGGTGGGCAGGGCAGGCCTCACTGAGAAAGTGACATCTGAGAGAAGCCATCAGTGCAAAGGCCCTGAAGTGAGTGTGCCTGAATGTTCAGGAAATGGCAAGGAAGCCAGTGTGGTCAGAGCAGAGTAAAGAGGGGAAGCCTAACAGGAGCGGGGCTGGATCTTGCAGGGCCTTGCGGTCTCTGACAGGATCTTGGCTTTCACTTTGAATGAGATGGAAAGCTATGCGAAGGTTTTTACATAAGCAAACCTGTTTTTAACAAAACCACCGTGGCTTTGTTCTGAGGAAGACTTGGGACGGTGTGGGGCAAGTGTAGAAGCGGAAAGATCATTTAGTTGGATGGCCTTTTTCTCTCGATTCTCGCCTGATCCACTGGCTTCAGTGTCTACCTTCATTTGAGTAACTCCCAAATCCAAGCTTTCTTTAGATGCCTCCAACTGCATTGCTTATGGACCTGCACACTCAGGTTTAGAATTGAACTCCTCTATCTAGCCCTCACATTCTATTTCCTTTTCCTGTAGTTGTAGACTCAACCGTGTATGATCACCCACTCTGAAGACTTAAGCAGTCTCTTCTCCCTTTCCCTCTGTTTTCTTTTTCAATTGCAGCAGTAGCATGGGCAGTAGGAGCTGCAGCTGCAGCTAACATTACTGAGCACTTACTATGTGCCAGGTACTGCTCTGAGCATGTTTACACAGCCACCTGTCAAATCCTTTTCATCTGTTTCCCTGGTGTGTTTTATATATTGTTTCTCTGTCCGCATTGCCTCTTCCATGGTTTCTTACCTCTCACTTGGACTTTTAATTACATGCAGCCTCTTGCTTCTGTCTCTAGCTTCTTTCCCTGTAAGCCATCCCCAATGAGTGACCTCACCCCACATTTCTTCAGGAGGTCGAGTTCTGATCCTATTGCTTGTATAGTAGTTTTTAGTAGCTTCTGTTGGGAGGCGGGCAAAATGCAGAATCCCCACGCTGGGCTGCAATGCTCTGCTCTTTGTGTTCTGGCTCAACCACCTTTTCTCCTACTGGACACACAGTTCCATGCCAGCCACACTGGAAGGTGTACTTGTCCCTGAGTCCATCCCAGACGACCCCACTATCGTGCCTTTGCGCCTGCTTTTCCTGCCAGCTGGAATCTTCCTGGTGCCCTCTAAACTGGATGATTCATCCTTGGCACTTCCACTCCTCTGTCCCTGGGCGCAGAGCCACGTGAGTGAAGAGGTGCCCCGTGAAGCTTGGTAGCGAGGGCCAGTCCTGCAGGTGGGAAATGTCATGATAGCTGCACTGTCACTTCTGTGCGCTCCCTAGCTCTCTCCAGGGTATTTTCCTCCTTCCGGATATTTCCTTCTTTTTGAGCGATCCTTAACTTCCAGGAAGGTACCTGAAGAGAAAGTACCTCCTGTCCTCAATCGATTGGGGAGACTTGGCAGGGATCCAAGCTTTGCCCACAGCCTGGGACCGGATTTCGGAAGATGAACACCAAGACTTGGTACCAGGTACTGGTTGGCTTATTCCTTCATGTCTCCCTCTCCTCCGTTTGTCCCCGTGGCTCGCTTCCTTGGGGGGATCGTAGAGGTGCCCTCTCAGTGCCCCTGTCTCTTCTGTCTACCTGGAGAGGTGGTATGTCACGGTTCTCTCTTCCTATTCCAGACATCCTACTGAATGTTTCCTTCTCCCTGGAAGAGTAAGGAAGCCATGTGCTTATCTGGAGATCAGAGGGACACAGTTGAAGACCAGGAGTGCCGCACTCTGCTATTTCTTAAGAAATATCGATATTGCCCTGACCGGTTTGGCTCAGTGGATAGAGCGTCGGTTTGCGGACTGAAGGGTCCCAGGTTCGATTCCGGTCAAGGGCATATACCTTGGTTGTGGGCACATCCTCAGTAGGCGGTGTGCAGGAGGCAGCTGATCGATGTTTCTATCTCATCGATGTTTCTAACTCTCTATTGCTCTCCCTTCCTCTCTGTGAAAAATCAATAAAATAAACTTTAAAAAAATTTTAAAAAAAGAAAAGCAATATTGATATTGTGGCCGGACTTAATTTGAAAAATGGCCTACAGCCTAAGGACTGGCTCTTGGGAGAATTGTTGGGGCTTCTCCCTGCCAGGTCACGGCTGAAGGTATCTGGACCACACCTCGCTCTTTCCTAAGGCTCAGGGGAGTGGGTGGAGGCAGAGAGATGTAGGAGAGGCACTGAAGAACACCCAGGACAGAAGCAGCAGCCACAGAAGCAGTAAGGAAGGACAGATAGAGAGTGGCACCGCCATTGGCATCATCCAAAGCTCTGAGCCTGGTTGGCACCAAGTCCTGGTTTGGTGTATTTGTGTCCGTACCTGATTCTTTGAAGAATGAGAAAGTGACTTTGATGATTTAAAGAAATAAGGGTGATGTTGATAGAAAACAGTAATTGTTTTCCAAGAGCAGTATACTAGTAGCTCCTTATCAAGCCAGTTTCAATTCCCAGAGCCTACCACCAGGGGGAGGTGGTGCAGCATGAATGATTCTGAATGCTGTCTGTTGCTTACCATGTGAAAGTAACTACAGTAGGTCCTTGGGTTACATCTCCTATGGTGCGATGTAACGCGATTTTGTCGCCGTCGGAACCCACCTACATAAGCACCTACGTCACTCACATGGAGCACATACACAGCAGTAATGAAGTGAAACAGTAAAAAAAATTTAAAAGATAACAATTCCTGACCTTTATTTGTAAATAAATAATAAAAAACATAAAGCACATATGTACATATGTCGAAATGATGGAACTTTTTAAAAAAATATATATTTTATTGATTTTTTACAGAGAGGAAGTGAGAGGGATAGAGAGTTAGAAACATCGATGAGAGAGAAACATCGATCAGCTGCCTGCTGCACACCCCCTACTGGGGATGTGCCCGCAACCAAGGTACATGCCCTTGACTGGAATCAAACCTGGGACCCTTGAGTCCGCAGGCCGACGCTCTATCCACTGAGCCAAACCGGTCAGGGCGGAACTTTTTTTTTTTAATAAATAAATGGGAGATGGCGACATAACCACGAAACGACGTACGTGGAGTCCGATGTAACCCGAAGACTGCCTGTAACTGGGGATAGTGGGACTCCTAAAATGATGGGTTTTATGACCAATGCTGGCAACTGACTTGCCACATTCCTCTGATTTTGGAATAGCTGCAGGGGTGGGGGAACCCCAACCCAGAGTCAGTGATCAGGTCTTACGATGTGTTTAGTGACAGAGATGAAAAAGCACGAGGAAGGTTTACAGCTCAACCAGGGAACGATCCAAATCAGTGTTTCTCAAGCTTTAATGTGCATATAAGTCCCTGGTATCTTGTTAACATTTAGATTTTGATTCTGTAGTTCAGGGGTAAGGTTCTAGATTCTGGATTTCTAACGAGGTTCCAGGTAATGTTGATGCTGATGATCCAGGGACAAGACTGAGTGGAAGAGATTTAAATTGTAATACAATAATAAAAGTGTTGTGCCGGAGGTAAAAGCAGAATGCTGTGGGAGAAGAGAGGCGAGAACTCACTGGTGAGAAGACTTCACAGTGACACCTCAGTTGGGCTTGAGGCTCATCTTACCTGGGGCTCGGAGGGACTGAAGGCATTCCATGTACAGGGACGGGCTAAGCCAAGTCCTGTGTGCCAGGTGGTGTGCTTGTTGCTTTGTACAAAATACATGGTGATTGAAAAGTTCTCCCCCAGTTACTCAGCCCCTTTCCTCGAGGCAGTCAGTGTTCAATGATTCTGGCATATCCTTCCAAAAATACTCTGCTTATATGAGTGCAGCGGTGAGCAACCTCTAAGACAGCCAGGAACAATCTCACGCCCGTGTACATCTCTTCCCCGTCAGCTTGGGCTGGACTTACAGGTTTGCTTCTAGGGAATAGAATACTGCAGACATGGTGGGATGCCACTTCTGAAACTAAATTATGAAAAAGACTGCACCTTCCGTCTTGGGTGTCTCCCACTCTCTTGGATCACTCATCCTGGGGGAAGTCAGCAGCGATGCTGGGGGCAACCTGTGGAGAGCCCGGGTGAGAGACTGCAGCCTGCCAGCAACCACCGGAGGGAGCTTGGAAGCAGATCCTCTCCCTCAGGTGAGACCACAGCCCCTGCTAACTGCTTGACCACAGCCTCATGAGGACCTACGCCAGAGGCAGCAGAGGCAAGCCGCTAAGCTGTGCCCAGATGCCTGACCCATGGAAACATAATAAAGGTCTCAAGTCATTCTGTTTTGGGTTCCACAGCAATAGTTAGCGAATACAACGAGCAAGTATGTGTGTGTCTTCTCCATAATTTTACACAAATAGTCAAATATAGATCCAGTTTCGTGCCTTGTTTTTTCTAAAGCAGTTGCAGAGTTTTCTGTTGTGTGGGCTTACCGTAATTTATTTCACTAGCCCCTGCCTCATGGACGAGTAGGCTGTCTGAAGTCTCAGTATCGGTTAGGTATCAGCACCCTCCCTCCACTCCCACCCCTGCTCGGGATGCTTTTCTTCAATTAGCTGGTCCCATCCCACCCACTCAGCCCCAGTAAAAAAGAATTCTGTTGGTATTTTTACTGGAATCCTATTACATTTAGAAACTGATTTAGGGAGAATCATCATAGTGGGAGTAACACTCCTCCAGCCGTGCCACTGGCTTTGGGTTGAGATAGCAAATGTGAGTTCTTTGCTGTTTCCCTCAGTTGGGAAAATAGGCTCTGAGTTCAGAACACATTCCCTGTCAGTGAGACAGTCTGTTGGGATGACATGAATTCAGGTTTCTTTCCTTCCTGTCTCTACCCCATCCCCATTTAGACATCAACCTCAAGACTGTTCTCTCAGGCAGAGTAGGGGTTTTTCAGAGTCAGTGGGATCCTAGCTCAGAGGAGGACTTCTCCCCGCCCAAGCAGAGTCCAGGCTTTATAGTGATTGTATCATGTTCGATTTTAATCTGGATGATAGGGGCTGGGAACCATCTGCGACTTGTTCAAGCATTAGGTGTTAATAATTCCTTCTTCCCATGGAGGAGCAGGCTCAGGGGTGAGGGTGCATTGATAATCAGCTCGGGGAAGGCCTGCTGAATGGCAAGTGACCCAGACCTGCATTCAAGTCTCAGCTCAAGTGACCTGGGGTGAGTCATTTCCCATCCAAGTTTCGGTTTCTTCATCTGTATAATGGAGATGATGATATACGTCCTCACAGGGTTGTACGTTTTAAGTGAGAGGAGGTATGTGAGGACTTTCGGTGAATTTATAAACATGGTCATGTACCAAGTGCATAGCTCCGCTGTGGAACCGGTATGCTTGCGAGACGGTGTTTTCCGAGTGCGCATAGCTTGTCAGTGACTTGGCAGAATTTGCACCAGGGTTTTGTGGGTTCTGGTGAGGGGTCTTTCCCTTGCACCACTGTTTCCTCCTTGCCACAGAGGCAAAAGCATCCCTGACACCTCCTCAGCGGGACAAGAGTTGGGTTTCCTGAACACCCAGCCCTGCACGGGACATGGTTCCTCCAAACAGCAGAGGTAAGTGCAGTGCTGCCCCATCTGGCGTGCCAGTGGCACAGGGCATCCAAGGCGCTGGGCAGCTGCAACCTTGCCAGTTACCCTCCCTTCTGGTCCCCCAGCCGGGAGGGCTGGAGTGAATCCTGGGGCTGCCTGCCAGAGTCTTACACTTTTGCTCTTTATGCGAGGGGCTGGGAGGAGAGAACGGGGTGGGGGGGAGGGGGGGGGGCCTGCCGCTTCCAGGCACTCTCCCTCCCGTCATTCCTGGAAGGCTCCTTGGTTTCTACAGAGTGCAAAGGAAAGTCATCTTCTGAGCCCCCGAGATTCTGACCCAGTACGTGTGGGGAGGGCCTAGGTGTGTCAGCCTTCTTTTCAAGTCCACCTCATTTTCTTTAAGAAATAACCTTACTCCTGAGAAAAAGAAGCAGCCCAGAGAGAGGGAGAGAGGGGACTGGCAGAGTAGCCACAAGCATTGCCCTTCTCTGGGAAGAAACTAGCCTTAGTAACTTCCTCATTGCCCGCTTCTTCCCTGTTGCTTCTCAACACCCAGCTCGTCCTCAAGTCCAAAAGGCACATGAGCTGTCCACACCCCCACCTCCATGCGTTTGGAGTGGGGCAGGAACAACTTATGTGTAAGGCGCCTTGCAGCCAGCCACATCTGCATTTACTCACTCAGAGGCCTCTCGTGTGCCCAGCACAGAGCCGATTACCAGTGACACAAAGTTAAGTAAGAGGCACACAGTTGAGTGGGCCAGACAGATCCGTAAGCCCATGGTGTGCAGGGAATGCAGTGGCTGGAGAGTGACTGATCCTTTCTGTGGGTTTTTGTGGGAGGCAAGAAAGGGAAATGGAAGAGCAGGCCCCCAGCAACTTGATTTCAGTGAGAATCCTTCCCCTGGTCTGTACCAGAGGAAAGTGATGGGGGAGGGCGTCAGCCGGTCAGCCGGAGGGCCATCCTGTGAGCTGGGAGCCACCCTCCGCGCTCGGCTCTGCTCTCCCGGTTCAGACGTGCGCAGCAGAACTCAGTTTGCACAGAGGGCCCAGACTAATAAATCCTCCGCTCAATTGCAGTCCCCACAGTGCGTTTATAGGCAGCAGCTGACTTTTATCAGCTAGTTTGTTCTTTCATATAAGAGTTTTATGAGGGTCTCCTGAGCTGGCTCATAACGTGATGAAACGTCTGCAAAACTCAACCATAAATCCCCGGCACCTGCCAAGCAGAGGATGCTGTTTTCCAGGCACATTTTGTCCAGCTGGCGGCTCTGTCCCCTTGCCCAGTTTGCATTTTTGCACTTGTCTCTTTAAACTTGGATTTGTTTTTCAACTCTCTGCGGCCTCTTTAAAGGCAACTCAGAAATGAGGGGCAGGAAAAAGGAACTAGAAAGTTACGTCTGTGCTAAAAATTACCCCTGGCTTATGTCGCCCTGAAAGCTGGTTTGGACCCTTCCTGTGCAAGGGAGACGTAAGGCTTCCCAGCCACACGAACCCGGGGGGGGGGGGGGGGGGGGGGGCTGAAGGACAGTGCCAGCCCAGCCTGTTCTTAATACTTTGATTCTTTTCTGGGACATCACCTTTAGTACTTGCCAAAGGGCCCTGCCCTAGGTTGTCTGGTCTGTAAATTAAAGAAACAGCCCCAGAGGCCCTTTCCCCACGTGGTCTCCGAGCGGGACACCTTTGGCCAGCGTTTCGAGCTCCCCCAAGCTGGAGATGAAGTTTAAATGCGCTCCCTCCTCCAAGTAAGGAAGACCTGGACACTCGGGATGCTGGTTGGCCTGAGGTGTTCTGGTGGCGGGAAAGCTGCAGACAGCTCAGTGGAGCGGCTGTCCGTTTAGGAAATGCTGGCTTAGCCACCTGTGTGTTGACAGGTTCGGTTTTGGTCAGGAGACCGCTAGGTCAGAAGGAGACCCCTGTGGCTGCCCTTCATGTGGCCTCATGCTTTGCTCACTTTCCCTGGACCCCACTTTAGGGCGTCTTCATGGGCGTGCGACCTTCGCTTACGAGGGTCCCCAGCTTGGCCTAATGCTCTGCTGTCACCCTCTTGAAGCTCTGTAGTTTTTGAACAAGAGGCTGGGTCTTCATTTGCATATGCCCCTGCGAATTATTTCTCTGGTCCTACTGCAAGTAGCTTCCCCAAAGCTGTAGACAGATCCTCTCTCCTCCCAAGGCCAAGTTTAGGCTGCACAAAGCAGGTTACTTTGTTGTTGTTTTAAAAAGTTTTTATTGATTTTGGACAAAGAGGAAGGGAGAGGGGGAGAATGCGAGAGAGAAACATCAATCAGGTGTCTCCTGCACACCCCTACTGGGGATGGAGCCCGCAACCTGGGCATGTGCCCTGACTGGGAATCCAATCGGCAGCCTTTGGGTACATGGATGACGCTCAACCCACTGAACCACACCACCCAGGGTTTACTTGTTTTTTTAATGAGGAATCTGGCCTTGCCCTACTCCCAAAGGCTCCTGTTACCCAGTCTTCTGGTTACAGCCAACCTCTACCAATCTCTGTCACGTGACAGTGTCTAACTGCCCTGAAGAGCCCCTTCCAATACCAACTCCTCGCTCCTATCACCTTTCTGAAGAGACTTCTGGCTAAGGCACTCCACCAGGAGGAAGCGCCTGCTCCTGTGGAGGGGCTGGGGTCTAGGAGCTGGGCCGGGTGATGGAAGGGAAACGACAGGAGTGGACCCCACCCCAATGACAGAGCCACAGGCCAGACTAAGCGGAGCATCCCTCCCTCCCCCAGCCCCGCCTGGCCCGGGCTCTCAGATCCACCCGGCATTGCCACACCAGCGGAAATGGTGGTTGCTGTCCCAGCCAAACCCTGGGCCAGTGGCGACAGACAGCCCCAACTGGGCCCAGCAACCACATCAAGGGCACAGCTCCACCCTCCTATTTGTACCCCCTCCGACCTCAGGCTTCCCTGCTTCTCTCTTTCCCAGAGAACCCAGTTTATAACCTCTGCCTGGGGCCGGGGTCAACCACGGGTCTCCGTGGCTGCTGCGTGGTGGAGAAGGTTCTGGACAGGGAGTCGGGACATCTACCACTCACCCCTGTGGCATCTGAGCAGGTGGCTTGACCTGTCTGGGCCCCAGGGTCTTCACTGAATAAGCAAACACAAAGTAGGGTGATAGACAACAGTTTCAACTTCACAAGGCCACTGCCAGTTAAAGTGGCTTAAAATACGTGAAAGAACCTTAAGCCCTGTCATACAAATTTAAGTAAATTTCCTCTGAGAAGCAGCAGGATGCAATGGAAAGAACAATTTGGGAGCCACTATGAATAATGCTAGGATTACTATTTATTGAGCAGTTTCTCTGCTTCATGCCCATGTCTAGTCTTTTTTTTAAAAAGATTTTTAATTGGGGTTTTTTTTGGTCTTTTTTTTTTTTTAGTGAGGAAGTGAGAGAAACATTGATGTAAGAGTGTGTGGGAACCCTAATCAGAGTACGCCAGATGTTCAAGGCCAGTTAGCCACACGCATGTGCAAGGCAATGACACAACTGTACGCACTGGGCAGGCGCACCTGTCTATAACCCACATATTGACATCACTGTTTAGCAAGAAGCCTCTTGTGTCTAAGTTGGCATAAAGGTGTTACTGACCAACTGGTGCGTGGCTGCTTTTAGGGCTACTTTGAAGAACTGATTGTCTAAGAGCTCCTATAGTAGCAACAGCTCCTTAGTCTGCAATAAAGTCTCTCCTATATGTCGACGACTTCTCATGTCTTCTTCCAGTGCCCGGCGTCCAAGGAGGTCAAGTGCCCAGTAGAGGGGCTTGTGCCTGACGGTGAAATAGCAATTGGCTGTTTTCTGCACGCCCCCTATCAGGGATGGAGCCGCCAACCTTCTGGTGCATGAGGTGATGCCCAACCCACTGAACCACACTGGCCAGGGCTGTGTAGTGCTTTTCTGTCCATTACAACAACCCTGCGAGGCAGGTACTATTTCCCGAGTTTTACAGATAATGACAGTGATTCGGGAAGATCGTATAGCTGGTCTGAGATTTAAATGGTTGATGAACTCTATCTAGCTCCAATCTACTGCACAGTCGTCTGAGACAGGGCTGGCTGGGTGTCCTCAGTCCAGTCACCTAAACCCTCGGAGTCCCATTTCCTCCTCTGCAATGAAGACCATCATCTTGTGACAGCCTCTGGGGTGAAAGAGCCCCTGTGTGTAGACCCCGGGCACAGTGCTGGTGCACTTTCTCCCACTGGCAGCCCTGGCCTCGAGAGCGGCTTTGGGTTGGTGGGGACTGACTTCATGGGGGAGCCGTGGTTCCCTGAAGTGGGCAGAGGTTCTGGTGGCCACGCAGTGAGGGAAGCATTGCTCAGGTAGGCGCTAAGGTGTGTCATTTCCTGCGATACTTGGCTACACTTCAGAGGCCAGGCCAGGGGCAGTCTGGGGGCCTGCCTCATTTCTATCTCTGCCTACTGAAATCATCATTCTCAGCGAGTCGCCCAAGCCCCAGAATTCCTGGGCGGAAGAGCCGCCGTGCAGCCAGCCGTGCAGACGTGTGAGTGGCCGGCATCACCTGTGCAGGCTGCGGGGCCATCGCTTCGATCCAAGGCCCCACGCGAGGAGGGAGGAGGGCACCTCCCACCACCGAGGACTGCAGCCTCATAGCTTCCCCACCACTGTCCCTGGGCGGCGGCCCTGCCCATTTACACCCTCGAAACTCCCGCCCAGTGAGGAGTAAGAGTCTTCATCAGCGAGGATTTAGGAGTTTAAACCACTGGTTCTTCTTGGCTGCAGTTGGCGTCTCTCGGGGAGCTTTATAAAGCATGGTGCCTGTGTCCACCCTAGAGTCTGATTTAATTGGCTGGGATGCAGGAATTTTAAAAGCACAGCCTCTCCCCTGTGACTTTATTGTGCAGTAAAGGCTGAGAAAAACACTTTATACAACTCGTTTGTTTAAGAGTCTTTTCTTGAGTGTCTACTGTGCATCATGCTGGACTCTGAGGTAGACGGGGCTTCTGGATCTCAACACATGGGGCTCGCATCCTAGTGGGAGGGACACAGTATCGGCGTAGGATGACCTGGGGAGGGGATGAGGGGCAGAGAAGGCTTGAGGTGGTGACATTTGTGCTGAGACTTAAATGAAGTGAGAGAGAAGCATGTATCTGTTGGCACAGCAGTTCTCAAAGTGTGGTCTGGGGTCACCAGACCTTTCCAGGGACCTAAGATGCTATCT